TTGTTTCAGTTCCATTAGCGATAGTACCTATAAATAATCATTATTAATACTAGAAGGACCACACAAGACGAGCAAAAATGAGACAAAATGCTTATAAGAGCAAATATGTAATGATATCATTGTAGTAGCAGTGAAACACAACGAACTAGATGACAGCCCGTCATGAGGATGTTGGACCTTCATGGGGTCCGTCATGTCTTACTTCAACAATGTTTTTTTGGAGACTCTCAGAATGAAAGACTTTGACAATTATGACGGATAAGCAGGACGGACCGTCATGATAATGAAGGTCCACCGTTGATGTCCGTCGTGGGGCACTTAGAAAATATATAGAGACCTTAGGAGAGGGGTCCCTGACCGTTATGACGATTGTGCAGGATGGACCGTCGAGAGTACAATAGTTCATCGTATCTGTCCTTTAGTGGAAACTTAGAAAAAAATAGAGACCCTTTGGACAAGGGTCTATGAAAACCATGACGGTTGTGCTAGACGGACCATCGTGGGTACGATGGTCCGTCGTATATGTCCATTAGTGAACACTTAAAAAAATGGAGACCCTTCGGACAAGGGTCTGTAACAACTATGATGGTTGTGCAGGATAGACCGTCATGGGTATGATGGTCCATCACATATGTCCGTTGATGGACATTTAGAGAAAACGAATAGTGGGGTGTTGGGACAGACCCTATGACGTCTGTCGTCGGGGTCACGTCCTGTCATTCAGTGACAGAACTGAGGATGCCACAATCATCCCCTGTGCCTCAAATGGAATACTTGATATTAACCTACATGTTTCTAACCTAAATACCTAGCAAACTAGCAATGCTAAAACACCAATTTCTCGCGTTTTAACAAAGCAATTCAAGGGACTCTCAACCTAGATCAGACGAAATTGGATCAAAGAGCAAAGACCTACCAAAAAGAAATAGGCCAATAGTAATTGAAAAACAAAAATAAAATGTAAATGGGTAGATATAAGAGACACATACTTGAGAAGAGGACAAAAACAAGCAAGTGAGGCACTCAACTATCAAGAGCAGAAACACAGCAGCAAACCCCGACCAGTAGAAAGGAGATTTAGGGATTTAGGGAAGTGATGTGGATCAGTTCATAGAGAAGAGGATGATAAAGGCAGGAAGTTGGGAAGTGAGAAAATGGGAGAAAGAGGGAAAGAAACGGTTTAAATGAAGAGGTGGGGAGTTTAGAAGGTTGAAAACTTTTTAAAATCCCCAGTCGGGTCTGGTCGGGTTGATGGTTAATGATGCAACGAGTCCCTGGTGACGGTCCATCGCAGATGTGATGGTCTATCATGGGTTCCGTCGTGTGTGACCTTATATTGAAAATAAATGAAAAACACACCTGCAATGACGAATTCATGCGATGGTGCATCGCTAGCGTGATGGTTCGTCGATGTATTCGTTAGTGAATATTGCGGAGTGATTTTCTTCATAATTTCCTAGTGATGTGTTGCGTATTGGGTTGCCTCCTAACCAACGCCTAATTTAACATCGTAGCACGGCTGAAGACACTGGATTACTTAGACTTCATCAAGATGGTATGCCTCGATCACTTCATTCGCTGATTCAGCATGCCCGAAATAGATTTTTATTCGTTGTCCATTCACCTTAAACCGCACACCCTCCTTGGTTTCCAACTCAACTGCTCCATGGGGAATAGTAGTTAATCAGGTAAGGGCCAGTCCATTTGGACTTGAGCTTTCCCTGAAACAAATGCAACCTAGAATTGTATAAAAGCACCAACTCCCCAACCATAAAGTCTCGTTTTTCAATTTTTAGGTCATGGTACTTCTTCATCTTTTGTTTGTAGGATATAGCAGATACCGTTTGGAGCTCACCACTCTACCTCATGGACCTACAAATGTTGAAGGTTACTTCTTCATTGTTCAACCGAAATTTCATCTGCCTCTTTTTCATATCAACTAAGTCTCTACCCATAGCAAGGAAAGGCCTCCCAAGAAATAATAGGTACTTCAAAATTGACTTCACAATCAAGAATAACGAAATCTGCCGAAAATATGAATGACTCCACTTTTACTAGCACATCGTGGACTATCCCTATAGGATTTTATACTGTTTGATCAGCCATCTGTAGCCGCATCGCAGTGGGCTTTGGATCACCCAAATCCAACTTCTTGTAAATCAAGAGGGGCATGAGATTTTTTCTTGCCCCCAGATCACTTAATGCTTTCGCAAAATGTAATGACCCGATTGTACAAGGAATAGTAAACACACCTGGATCTTATTTGTTTTGTACTAGAAATCTTGTAGCAATAGCACTACAATGTTGCATTCTATCATCATCCTCAAAAGTGACCGATCTTTTCTTTGTAACCAGATCTTTCATAAACTTGGCATAACCGGACATTTGTTCTAGAGCTTCTACCAAAGGGAAATTTATAGAAAATTGATTCAACATTGTTATAAAACACCGATATTTAACTAGAGTGCCCGGTTGCCGTGTGTTCACAGGCGCAGATAATTGGGCCATTTGCAACTCAAGCTGCTTAATCGATATTGCATGTGTATCGACTTTCTGCTCAATACCCGCTAAATCACTCCTTATCACTTTAAGGTGCTCATCACTAGCATCGAACCTCCTCATCATTTTGTGCAATATATCCTCAACTCACTCCATACTACCTCCACCATCCCTAGGAGAAACTTCACAATTTTGAGGAGGAACATAGGGCCCATTCCTATCATTTCTATTACGATAGTTACCCCTCTTGAAGTTGTTGTCGCGGCTATAATTTCCATCTCGGACATTATTACCTCATGGTTATAGTTACCATAGTTTCAACCTTGGTTTCATTGACCTTAGCGCTAATTCTCCTGATTTGAGCCTTGGAAATTTTGTCGAAAACCCCCGTCTACTCATTTACCGTATAGGAATCCTCCTCATAATAATATTCATAATTTGGTGATGGTGTTTTAGACATGTATTTCACTGCATTTATCTTTTATGCACCCCTAGTGACATGTCTTAATACCAACCCAAGCTTAGATCTCATATGAGTCATCTCTTCACAAATCTCATATGTGGCTGGGTTGTGTGTGGATTGCACTGCGAAGGTATTTCTTCCAGTATCTGACTTCCTAGTACTCCAAGCTTTATTATTCCAGGAGATTTTCTCAAACTTTTCGACAATCTTGGCATAAGGACACTCCCCATAAAACCACCCTCTATAGTATCCAATACCGCTTTATTATTATCATCATGTCCCAGATAGAAGTATTCTTTCAGTGACTCATCATCTATGCGGTGATTGGGGACACTTCTCAAAAACAAAGTGAATCTATCCCCAAGAACTGCTAACTGCCTCTCCTGGTAGTGCCACAAAGTTGTTCACTTTGTATTTGTGATTTAGTTTCTTGGAGACCGGGTAGTAATGTGCTAAGAAAACGTCTCTTAGTTTGTTCAAGTTAAAATTGAGTTATAAGGGAGCTTAGTGAACCAAATAGCAGCCTCTCCCATCATTAAGAGAGGAAATACTCTTATCCCTATTACATCCAAATTCAAATCAGGCCTCCCTACGCAGCTTTTACACACTGCCCTTACGTTAGATATATGGGCATGTGGGTCCTCAGAAGGTAGCCCTGAAAACAAACCTCTAACAGTGAGAATTTGCATCAGACTACTAGTTACCATAAAGGTCTGTCCTTGTGGTAGAGGGGGCAAGAAAAGTGGCACATCAGAGTCTGCAATATTATCATAACCTCTATAGTATTCTTGAGGACGTGGAGCGGGATTTTGTCCCCTTTGTTAATTTTCACAATGATCATCAGGTAATAACTGACCATGAGCATCAACTAGAGCTAGGATGTTCTGGTTTAGATCATCATCGTTAATACCCAAGTTTCGATTCATATTGCATAGTGTACGCTCTAATTCGTGGTCGTAGGGAAACGAGAGTTCTCTTCCTCTCCGTGTATTTAGCATACAAGGAAGTTAGTTCTGCAAGAAAAAAATAGAAAATTAAAATAAAGAAAATATTTACTAAACTTCAGTAATAAGTGTAAGTTAATCTAAAAGCTACTATCCCCGACAGCGGTGCCAAAGTTTGATATGCTCAAACTTACTTCTCAATAAAAAGTAAATCAGTCGTATCAAGTAAAGAACCCAACTAATAAGGTTTGGGTCGATCCCACGAGGAAAATAGTTCAAACATAACTTACTCTATTATTACTATTATTTGGTCAACTATTTCCTTAGTAAACAAAAGATAGAAAAGGGTTTTTTAACTCTAATTTAAGGAAAATAATTAACTAAATTAAAGTAAGCAACTAACCGATTCAAATCTCGGAGCTTAATCAATTAATAAAAGTAACTAGGGCTTAAGTGTTCCCCACAGGTTCCTAACTTTATAATTCTAACTATAACAATTCTTTCCTAGTATCTTGCATGTAAAGTAATAAGTTATGTATCTCTAAATCCTTGGTTCGGCATCTAGAAATTTTCACACCGCACCTTGGTCCTGCTACGTGCGTTGCTATACTAACTGTTACCTTTACCTCATATTAAGCATTGTATTTGATATTTTACTAAGTTATTACCTCGTACGAACCGAACTAGCCTATTAGATAGTGTACACTAAATCTATGTTGATAATTGTTTTCCTATTATCTACCTCCTTGGTTCGGCAAGTAGGATTAAGGCGAGTTCTAACGTTGGCCATCCGTTAAAAAGACATCTAAACGAAAGAATTATCAATACATCCAAGACACTATTCTAGAAGTGGTATTTTAGTTAGATTTTATCTCATTATTCACCCATGGTACCCACAACCCTAGTTATGGAGTTTAGTTACCCATGGTCATAATCACACTATTCATATATTTAATATAAGAATTCATGCACTTACTTTAATGAGAAAGAATAAAATCAAGAAATTCACTTGATCAATCAACAAAAACACCAACAGTCAATTCCATAAAAAGTGTATCAATTACTGAAATTAATTCAATATTTGAACAAGAAAACAAAAAACTATTGAAAAGTCTAACAAAAAGTCTGAAAGACTAACCTTCTAACGAAAAGTCAAACCCCAAAAATGAGGTTTTTCAAACTATTTATAGTAAAAAGAAAAATCTAATAAAAGAATCATTCTAATTACATAAAATTTGTGCAAACGCGTCTAAGTCGAGGGACCTCGTGACGGACAGTAGTGGTCACGGGCAATCATGGCCTCCGTCATCCCATACTTCATAAATTCTTCTACTGCTTTCTTCATTACCCTCAACGAACATGTATGACAGACCGTTCCTAGCAAGACTGTCTGTCGAGGGTCTCCGTTCCATAATACTTTAACTTTTTGGAATTTGGGTACTGGGCTACTCTCTTATCATTACGAAGAACCATCACGACGGTCCATCGTGGCTATGATGGTCCGTCCTGGATTTCCGTAATCCCACACTAGGTCAGACTTCCCCATCTTCTTTCATCAGCTTCTCTCCTTACTATGATGCCACCTACGGACCATCACAGACTCGACACGGACTATCATAAGCTCCATAGGTGGTATGTTCTCCATTTCTCGCTCAAAAACTTCCGCGTTCATCTTTGAACAAATTTCCTGCAAATAAGGAGAAACTTACATAAAAATCAATACAAAAAGGCTTTTGCACACACACTAAACTTAAGGAAAAGCATTAAAAGTACCGTAAAACCACTGTACGACAGTATGCCACTTCTTTTGTGTCGAATAGTTGGGACGAGATGAGCAGGTTCCTCACAGGTATCTCAGAGGAAATGGAGGAGGAATGTTGGACTGCAATGCTCCATGAAAACATGGACTTGTCCAGACTAATGGTGCATGTTCAGCAGGTTGAGGATAGCAGGAAGAAGAGGAGAGTCCTTGAGGTCAGGAATCCTAACCCTTCTGACCTGACAGGTTCCAACAGAGGTAGAGGAAGGAGAACTTTCGGAGTTTGTAATCAACCCAGATTTAAGAAGGAGCATCAGAGTTAAGGGAGCTCTAAATCTCATAGGAGTGCAGCACCTACAGGAAGTAGACCTGAGCCCAAGAAGGGCAATAGAGGTGATGTGCAGCGTCCCAGAAAGGAATGTGTCAAGTGTTGCCGTATTCATAGTAAAGACTATAGACTAGGGACAAATGCCTACTTTGTTTGCAGAAAGAGCGGACACATGGTCAGGGACTGTCAATAGGATAGGGGTCAGGCTGGAGGTAATGCTCAACCTAGGCCTAATACCAAGAATGCTACTGTAGCTGAGCCGCGTAAGAGAAACATATTCTACTCCTTGAAGGGCAGGGAGGAGCAAGAGAAGTCTGCTGATGTGGTCATAGGTATGCTTCAAGTCTTCTCAACTTCTTTTTATGCTTAAATTTATCCAGGGTCTCCACTTTCTTTTGTGACTCCCTTGCTTGCTCTTACTTTTTAAACACTACCTGAGGTTTTGGATGATCCCATCGTAGTTAGTACTCCCTTAGAAGAAAATGTAAAAGCTGATAGGGTTCATAAAGACTGCCCAATAGCAGTAGGTGGAAAGACTATGTGTGCAGACCTTGTTGATTTACCCAAGACTAACATCAATATTATATTTGGTATAGACTTGCTCCATTGATTATATGCCTTCATGGATTGTCGTAGTAGGGTTGTGAGATATCATTTCCCTAATAAAGTGGAGCTGGTCTGGGAGGGTTACAATTCGAGTCATTCAAGTCCCTTGATTTCAAACCTAAAAGCTAATAAAATGATGTCAATGGGATTTTGATCCCATCTTGTGAGTGGAAATGATATAGATCATGACATTCCTTCCATAGACTCTGTGCCTGTAGTGAATGAGTTCCAAGCTTTTTTTCCCGATGATTTTCCTTGAATCCCTCAACCTCAAGAGATTGATTTTAATATCGACCTAGATCACGATACCAAACCAATTTCAATTCCTCCCTACAGAATTGCTCCAGCTGAACTCAAGGAGTTGAAAAGCTGAAGTTAAATATTCCACTAATAAAGGCTTCATCAAGCCGAGCATATTCCATTGGGTTACTCCAGTGTTGTTTGTGAAAAAAAAGATGGAACCCTTAGGATGTGTATCTATTATCAGCAGCTCAACAAAGCGACTCGAAAAAACAAGTATCCACTTTCAAAATAGAGGACTTATTCGATCAGCTCAAAGGGTCTAGTTCTTCTCAAAGATTGATCTTCATTCTGGGTATCATCATCTTAGGGTTAGGGATGAAGATATCCCAAATATAGCCTTTCGTACCCGTTATGGTCATTATCAGTTCCTAGTCATGTTATTTGGTCTCACTAATGCACCAGTTGCGTTTATGGACCTCATGAACCGAGTCTTCCGTGAATACGTTGATTCTTTCATCATAGTATTCATTGATGGCATCCTCATCTACTCTAAGACCAAGGAAGATCATGAATAGCATTTGAGAATAACTTTGTAGGTACTTACACAACATCAGTTGTATGCCAAATTCAGCAAACGTAAATTCTTGCTTAGATCAGTGACCTTCCCGCGTCATATTATGTCCTATTAGGGTGTGGAGGTGGACCCCAGGAATACTGAGGCTGTTGAGAACTTGACAAGACCTCTTACTCCTATGGATATCTGTAGCTTTCTAGGATGGGTTGGATACTACCGCATGTTCGTGGGTGGTTTTTCTTCCATTGCTTCCCCACTAACAGCTTTAACTAAGAAGAAGACCATGTTCGAACGGGCGGAGACTTGTGATAAGAGTTTCCAGGAGCTCAAGGAGAGACTCACTTCAGCCCCAATGCTTACGTTGCCTAAATGCGGTGAGAATTACAATGTTTATTGTGACGCATCTAGGGTTTGTTTGGGTTTTTTTCTTATGCATGGTGGTAAGGTGATCGCCTACGCGTCTAGATAGCTCAAGATTAATGAGAAAAATTAACCCACTCATGACCTCGAGTTGGAAATTGTAGTGTTTGCATTGAAATTGTGGAGTAATTACTTTTATGGAGTACATGTGGATGTTTTCACATACAACAAGAGTCTCCCATATGTGTTCACGCAGAGGGAGTTGAATCTACGTCAGCGGAGGTGGTTGGAGTTGTTGAAGGACTATGACATGAGTGTCCAATACCATCCAGGGAAGGCAAATATTGTAATACATTCTTTGAGATGGTTGAGCATGAGGAGTGCAACCCACGTTGATGATGGAAGAAGGAGTACGTGAAGGATGTACATAGACTATCCAGACTGGGTGTGCCGTTGATGGCTTCTACTAATGGGGGTGTTTCAGTTCATCCCAGTTTTGAATCATCCTTGGTAGCTGAAGTCAAGAAGGGTCGGCATCTTTATCATGTGTTGATGGAGTTTGAGAAATCAGTGTTGATAAAGATAAATGAGTCCTTTGCATATAGAGGTGACGACATATTTAGGTACTAGAACATGCTTTGTGTACCAGACGTGGATGATTTGTGGACCAAGATTGTTGTAGAGGCCCATGATTCAAGGTATTTGATACATCGAGATTTCACCAAGATGTATCATGACCTCAAGAAGATCTAGTGGTGGGATGGAATGAAGAAGGACATTGCTGAGTATGTGGACTGGTGTCCCAATTTTCAGTAGGTTAAGGCGGAGCACCTTAATCCTAGTGGTCTCACATAAATGATTGAGGTTCCGACTTGGAAGTAGGAGTCCGTTTACATTGACTTCGTGGTTGGTCTTCCGAATACTAGGAGACAACATGACTCTATATGGGATATTGTGGATAGGATGACTAAGTCTTCCTAGTTTATCCATTTGACGTCTACTTACAGGGCTTAGGATTATGCGAGACTCTACATTGATGAGATGGTGAGGTTGCATAGATTCCTTTGTCTATCATTTCGGATAGAGGAGCTTATGTCACTTCGCATTTCTGTAGATCCTTCTACAAGAGCTTAGGCACACAAGTAATGATCAGTACTACTTTCAATCCTCAGACATATGGGAAGGAAGAGCGCACCATTCAAACGTTGGAGGACATGTTGAGAACGTGGGTCATTGACTTCAGGGGTAGTTGGGATGACCATCTTCCATTAATAGAGTTTTTGTATAAAAGACACTATCACTCCAGCATTGGCATGGCACCGTTTTGGGGCACTGCATGGTAAGAGGTGTAGGTCTCCATTTGGGTTGTTTGAGGTTGGAAATTCATCCATTTTGAGTGCAAAGATCATTCACGACACCTTAGAGAAGGTCAGGGTGATTAGGGACAGGTTGGCTAATGCTTATAGTCGGCAGAAGTCTTATGCAGATAATAGGAAGCAACCCTTAGAGTTTGTTGTTAGTGACCACGTCTACTTAAATATATCACCCATGAATGGGGTGATGAGGTTTGGAAGGAATAGAAAGTTGAGTCCGAGGTACGTTAGCCATACGAAATTCTACAGCGTGTGGGTGAGGTGGCCTATGAGTTAGCATTGCTTGCGGAGCTAGATTTTGTTCATCCAATCTTTGATGTCTCTATGTTAAAGAATTTCCTTGGAGATCCAGCATGGATTCTGCCTATTGAAGGTTTGGCGGTTGATGAAGATTTTTCCTATGAAGAGATTCCTGTTGATATTTTAGAACGGCAGGTGAAGCGACTGAGAAACAAAGAGGTTGCCATAGTTAAGGTATTGTGGAGGAACCATCTTTTTATGGTGCTACGTGGGAGACCGAGGCAGATATGAGATCCCTTAATCCTTATCTTTTCAGCTCTTGAGGTTAGACTTCCTACTCTTAAGTCTAAGTTTCCTTATCTCCTCTATTCTTTGTTGCTATTGCTTGACTGTGTATACTACTTATGATATGATATGACTGGCATTGTGCTATATAATTATAAGTGTCATTCGGGGACGAATGTTCCTAAGGAGGGATAACGTAACAACCCAAAAAAGGCCATGCTAATTAATGTCTAATATACCTAGAATGCCTAGATTAGACCGGTTTCACACAAATTGATGCATGTGGAACAAGACCTCAGAACCTATGCACCAGCCAAGACAACCAACTTTGTGAGTTAGTTGAGCTACTCAAGGTAGGGTCAAGCCATGTAGGGCACCCGAATATTAAGATTCACCCGAATGAATCTTAACTGAAATTGAAAGGGGTAATCTTATGTTTGGTGGGTCTAGGGGTAAAATGGACTTTTCTAGTATAAGGGTAGTATCCTAATTACCGTAAAGATTTAATTAATTAATTAATTTATTTATGTGAGTAATGGAAAATTCGGATAGGGATTACCAGAATTTGACCCTTTTCGCGAGTTAAGCTTCACCCGGGTTCGATCCTGGGTGGAAGCAATGTTAAATCTAATTAATTTATATTAATTATCTGATTTAAGTAAGGGCATGATTAGTAATTTCACCTAATCAATTAAAAATTAGATTTTTAATAATAAATGGCAAGGAGTCCTAGTTTGGCTAAGTCTTCAACTAAAACTTCTACTCATACACTTACTTTCATCTCTTTCCACTCTCCTTCTCACGTCTCTCCACAATCTTTCTCACGTCATCATCAGCAAAAAGAACAAAAATTAAATTTCATCACTCTTGAATAACTTGTACACTAAAATTCAAAGGAAAAACTAAACTAAAAATGAAA